CGAGACACTCACCTCGTTGTATCTCGTTGGACGTAAGGAGAGAGGAGACGCTGCCAGTTTCATAAGCGCCTTGCGTTCAGGCGTGCTACCTTCAAAGAATGTGGGACAGACTTGTCGACCTGGTACGTGACAGAAGCTGACCCTGTGCAGCACCCCTTTATCGCAGACTGCCGGGGTCAAGAAGGCCTCCGACATCTCTGTCACTTTGCACTACGGACCCAACTGCCGTCCAGCAGCTCGACAAGGGGGATATCTGACAAAGTCCACGAGCCTCTGGCTGATAGTACTTGACCTACACCAGCCTGCGTCCTATATGACGCCAAAACTACGAGCGCCGATAGTGTCGCCTCAGCCACATCCTACAATATAGATGGGAAGAAGGGAGGGCAATAAATATCCCACATTCAGCCAGTGTCTGCCGGTGGTCTAGGCTTTTTTCCAATACACTGGAACATCTGGGCGCATGGTGATAAGCCTCGACCCTGTTGCTCAATGTGTAATGTTCCGAAAGATCGCGCATCACACTTGAGGTAGTGATGGGGCCATTTTCTATGGCATATAAGTGCCCACCCTGAGTCTGTCTGATAAGACCCCAGACCTTGATCTGTGGACAGGTGTCGAAGATGCATAGTATCCTGGTTCGCTAGGCGACGCCAACAGCCAGAGTCGCAATGTCCGCGAGGGCGTCATGACTGGGTAAGGCCCATGTAGACCAAAGCGCCCTAGATAGGGTGCATGAATGGAGGTAGATCTCTGAGTGGGTGTGACGGCTTGCCTGTTTGGGGTAGACTACCCATTGATGACCGTTCAGTGTGGCAGCCACAATTAACAACTACAAAGGACTAGAGACGAGCGGGTGTGGCGGCTCCGCCATTGCTGTGGGTATTCGTTTAAGGGGTTCCCGCCCTATGGATTATGAGGATCGAGAGGGTGTGATTGCGTTGCTATTGCTATATGTCGTGTGGCAGCCATCACAGAGGACTAGAGTCGAGAGGGTGTGATGGCTCTGCCCTAGCTGTGGTGTTGTAGCCACAATATGAGGCTAGAGCTGGGAGGGTGTGACAGCCCCGCTACTTGTGTGGATCTTTGCCTGAGCAGTACTTGTCATGTTGCAGCCATTACAGGGGCCTAGAAACGAGAGGGTGCGATGGCTCCGCGCTGGTGTGGATACCTGCCTGGGGTGTCCTTGTCATGTGGCAGCCACTACAGAGAAACAAAAAAGAGGTGTGATGGCCCCGCCACAGCTGAGGGCACCTGACAGGGGCGTTGCTGCGGTGTGGCAGCCACAACGTTAGGTCCGAGAGGGTGTGATGGCTCCGCCATCGCTATCCACACTTGCCTAGGGGCGCCCGCTTCAGGCCAGGCCACCTGTGATCGACGACTTGCCGTGTGGCAGCCACACGTCACCCGAGCTGCTTAACATCAGAAGCTGGAGTGGCTGCATTCTGTCCCTGGCGATGAGACTACCCTGCGCCAGGGAGAGCTTCCCAACCGCGGGGGCCACGAGACTGCGCCTGCTTGGCCCATCATATACGGATGCACCCATCTTGTGGGATGCTCTTTGAGCTCCCCCCTCATCTCATCCGTATCAGCTTTCCGTTCGACCTCATGGCATTGGACGCGCCAAATCATGTTTGAAAGGCGAAGCCTAAAGACGCTCCTCTACATATCCTTCAGCGAACGAGCCCTCCCGTATCTTGGTATTGCTCTGCAGCTAGCACCTGTTTTTCCTGAGCTAGGCCATTGACAGACGGAGACAGCGGGTTGACTTGCAAGCAGCTATTTGCCCGAATTGCTTACTCCGACCAATGTTGTCGCCAACTATTAGGCGTATGTATCTCGCGTCCACGTCATGCAAGTCAAACTCATCTCGAATAGAACACGCTTCGATATTCGGTAGACTTCCGAAGAGCCGCGGCATCTGGGGCTTATGCTCACACGTGGCGCTGTCTAGCCAAACGGCGTCGCGCCGTGAGAGACGCCAAGCCATACCAGGTTGCACTGGTCAATGTCCCGGGAGGGTTCACCCTATGCAACGACGCCCTCATCTCTTGTCGGGAGAGATGGGTGCACGTGCTGTTGTTGAATAGCTCAGGAAGCCGGAACATACGCTTGGACGCCTTCGCCCTGCTCAAAAAGGCCCTCCCTTCTATCCCCTGCTGTGACGTCGACAAGGTCAATGTCGTGCATCAAGCGTATGGTATCGTCACGCTCCTCTACCAGCTCGGAGACAGCCAACTACTAGCAGCGCCGTCCTTGGGCCACGCACTTCCCGAGGAGATTGCTTATGTGACTCTGGGGTTGGGACGCTGGTGAGTTGGTGTGTTGTTGCCCACTAATAAGGCCGCATCGTTTGGCAAAGTAGTAAACATACTGGCCCGAGACAAGCAGGGTGTGCAGCGTGTACACGTATCGCTTCAGTTAGTAACGAAAAAGGGCAAGAGATAAATTGTCCACCATAGCACCCCATCATCATGCGGTCTGCGCAGATTGAGGTCTAATAGTTGCCCAAGAGCTCGAAATTAGTATGAAGTCTGTAAGCTTGGACGATTGTGGTAGTTAGTCAGGCCGCAAGTGAATCATAGACTACGTACCGCACTTTCGATAGATCATTTTGAGTTATCTGATAGCTCAAGCCTCCAGGAATCTCGAAAATCACGCCACGAAAGGGTAACCGTTCTGAACTGCGTTTTAACCATCCTTTTCTGCTGCACGAAGGGTAAAGAGACTGCGTATTCCAGACTGAACCCATCGTGCACAGCTACCTCGGGCGCAGTTACCTCAGGCACAGCTTCTTCGAGCACAGCTTCCTTATCCATATCAGCCAGATGCAACGAGAAGAGGATAGGAATAGGAAGTATCACGTTTTGACAGTTATTGAAAAGGCCAAGTTCTGGGCAGCAGACGCGAGATGCCCACCCGGCGCAAACCCTACCAAGTAACGCATTCGCCGTGATCCCACTTGTAGTGACTAATCAATGACAGGAAATTTGTGATAATCAGACCTTGAATGAAGATCAGAAACACGTTGAAAGTTCCTCAGCAGGTGTTCGCAGTCTCTCAAGCGCTCAAGACTCTCCCATGTATTTTCGCTGTCCGCATAATTCGTCCATTTGACAAGATACTCAACTTTTCCGTTAATAATTTGTTCAGCGACGATTCGTGCAGAGTTTCTGTATCCTCGCTCTCTGGAGCGAATTTCCTGGACAGTGTAAGACGATATGGAGTCGGTTGGGAGGCACCAAGTATGCTGAGAAAAGCACGAGAGGCGTCATTCGAGAGCATAGCTAGTTCGCCAGGCATTGTGGAGTTTGCGAAACCAGTAATACCTGCGAGACAGACGAGTTTGAAACGCCGATAGTAGTCTCCTTTCAAGCCCTCGGCTGAATTGACTTGAGATCAACACGGAGGATCAGAGTTGCGTCGCCATTGACTCCCATGTCCAGCGCGTATCGTGGTATCCAGATTGCCGACCGCGTGATATACGTCAAAGATAGTCTAATATTGCCTGATTCTGAGACATGAATAAGTTCTTCCTGGTCTCGTTCGATTGTCATCGGGTTGCACTTGAACTCGCCCTTGCACCATGCCGCTGGCACTGTATTGCGCGACAACCACTGTTGAGAGCGCTCATCATGCCTTAGGTATTAGTGTCTTTCTATCATGGTGTGCCAGCTGTACGGCCACTGAGAGCACCGTTTGGGCAATTGAGTCCACGTCCAGAAAGTGCCTAGCCAGAAATTGCCCATGTCGCCAACGTGGTCAGTACTGGCTTCCAGGACCAAGTGACCGAAGGCTTAGCCGCGAACAGCTCCACTTATAAGAAACCAATCAGATACAGAAGTACCTACTTCTACAAAGGGAGTCATTGTCCTAGACCCTATCATAGGACATCGAGAGGTCAGCAGATCAGTAGTGACGTCGAGTTTGTGCTGGAAACCCGGCTGTTAGCTCAACCGAGTCTCTGCCCATTGGCGTTGCTGTCAGTGCTATCAGGGGCCAAAGAGGCATTGGATATGCAACTGTTCAACTCTCATTGAAGGGCAGAACTATGTCTGTGACCATGAAGTTTGTCGCGGATGCGACTATTTTAGTATATGCTAATAAGGGATACGTCGATGAGATTTCGCGGTGCAGAATGTTGCCAGTGTTGTATAGAGACTGGTGAGCTTTGACCGCATCTTGCATCGATTCCAGCAGTTCCTTGATGGTTAGGAAGTCGCTAATGACACGGCCGGCTGGCGACATCATGAGGCAGGAATATATCCTATTTTCCCACAGGTCCTCGCCAGGCGTGTATAAGCTCGGCTTGGCTCTGCCGATAGACAGTTGGTCGTTTAGTTCTCGGACCAACTTCGACTTCTGACTGTTGGACCGCCGCCTCTTGGCTTCGGACGCGTCGTCGGATGTGTGGTCGGACGATGACTGGCCCTTCTCACCTGAAGAGTTCGTGCTTGCGGTGGCTGATGGCGGATCTTCAAAGTGGACGTCTTCGTTCCGGAACCAATGACGTACGAAAATATTCGTGATACTGGATACATACTGTAGGATTACTTGTATCCTGAAGTCGAAGCGTTCATCCAGTACGAGTCCGCTCGTGATGTTAGATAACGCTCCTTAAATCCTAGAACAGAAGCAATAGTACGAATATACTCAGTGCTTTAGTCAATCGCCCTTCGTAAGAATAAGCTATTCTTAGTCGCTTAACCAACAGTGCATACCCTTCGTGTGAACAAGCTTATTCCTTGGACGCGCCATTGGCACAACTGAATTGTTCTTGGTCTAAAAATAACCAGACGAGGTCAGGGCGGCCTTGGGTGCGGGTGTCCCAGATTACAGCGTCAGGACACTTGGACTTGAGTAGTTGGCACATGGACTTGCCGAATGTGTTTTCGGGATCCTTAGTCGACCAGATGAGCTTGGTCGGGCATGATGGGCTGAGAATGTGTCCGAGCTGGGGGCCGATGCCAGAACCGGTGGCGACGATGACGAGACGATTGAACAATGTCGCAATGCGCATGACACCACAAGTAGGCACGCCACGCACCCAGATATAAGGGCGGGGTTGTTCGATCATAGCGCGAGTCCAGTCGCCGGCATTGGAGACGACCAGGGAGTAGCCTTTGGGTTTGCCATCAACAGCCTCGGGAGCAGGGATGGTGGCAAAAGAGTGCCATTCGAGAAGCGGTGTATGAGACAGTCGTGTGAATGAGCCGTTTACCGGAACCGTGTAATCAAAGAGCAGGCGGACCGCGTGTTTGGACAGAGCCTCGGCCCTGACGGAGACCTTCCTGAGCCAGAACCAAGACGAGGCGACGCTGAGCGTAGCAACAACCAGGAGCCACAGCGCGGGCGTCCTCACTGCGGCAGTTCCAAGGGAAACATCTGTGGCTTTTGTGTCATTGGCGGTGAGCACCACTTGAGCCCAGAAGAGGCCAAGCACAGTCCAGCCCACAAATCGGTGAACAACCTCAAACCTGTTGTGATGCGCCTTGCGCACCGTCGGGTAGGCCATAGCCATCATGGCAACGAAAAGAGCGGCGATGATCCATGTGATGACCTTTACAGCAACGGAAGGTTTCCCCCAGTGTCCACCGCAAGTACCCAGCGTCATGCACGCTGTGTCGCCGGTCGTGTTCGCAAACATCCAAAGCGCTGCACTGACGCCAGCCCCAGAATGAACGCCACCAAGATGGAAGACCCGAGCGGCACGTCTGCGAATCCAAAGAGGCCATGACTTGGGAACACTGCATGCTACCGTGTAAATGGCATTGATGACAAGTTCCTGTCTTATGAGAACTGCGATTGTGAGGTTGACAGCGGTGGCGTGGCCAACGGCTTCGCGCTTAAAGCCGGTGAGGGCCACGATAACGACGGTGGCCATGTTGAGAAGAGCCATTACAGTGAAAAGTCGTCGGTAGACAATCAGCACGCGATGGCGGATACCGCGAACTGTTTGTTCTCCACCTTATCGGGTACGGCAGCCTCCCAGTCGAGGTCGGGCTTCTCGTCTACAAAGCTCGAATTTGACCGATTGCACAAAGTAGTGTCGGCTGTATCGGATATTGCTTTTTGGAGGCTTGGCGGTAAGGGCAGGTCCGCAGTAGAGCTGGCCTTCTCAACGACCAGTGGCCTGGTGTCAGAGATTGACTCCTTAAGCAACTGCTTGTTGATCTTGCCGTTGGAGGTCACCGGGAGCTCATCAAGTAAATGGAACTGTGAAGGCACGGCGTAATATGGCTGGCACTTCTGCAGGTGTGTTTTGACAATGTTCATGTCGGCGTTGGCTGGTGTGATGAACGCGTGGATCTCTCCATGCCAGAAAAGCACAACGCCTCTGTCAACGGCACTGCAAGAGTTCACCGAAGCAGAGACTCCGTCAAGTTCAACTCAGAAGCCCTAATTAGGCTTCCCACCTTAACCTTTACCTGGTCATCGACTCGACCAAGAATCTCAATAGAACCGTCGGGGAGCCACCTGCCGAGGTCGCCTGTGTTGTATATCTTGTATCTGTATATCATTGGTCAGCTTTGGGGTGCTTCTCTTTCTTTCACACTCACGTCATGTCCAGGAATGGGTCTGGGAGGTATTGTGCAGCTGTCTTCTCGGGAAGTCCGACATAGCCCTTAGACACGCCGACACCACCGGCCCACATGACTCCAGGCTCGCCATTGAGAAGAAGTTCGTGATCTTTGTTGAAGATGTAGATATTGTTCCCAGGGGTTGGCTTTCCAATAGTCAAAGCCCCACCACTGACGTGCTTGTGCATAGTGTTGACAATCGTGGCCTCAGTGGGACCGCAGCAGTTGTAGTACGTCTTGTGCGCAGCCCATTTGTCGGCTAGTCTGGAAGTTCAAGTTAGCCCAGCATACGGGAAGATGCGTGTCGACTACAATATACCGCTGGGAGGTTGGTTCTCCGGCTGTGGCGACGGTCTTGATCTTCGGATAGTCATGTGGCTCGTATTTGGCGAGAATGGTCGGAGTGCATATGAGGACCTCGATCTGCTTTGTTTGAGCCTTGCTTGATCAAAGTTCACTCACTTCCTCCTCACCTCTCTGTTGCACGCAGCCCAATCCGAGCCTCTGAGAATTAGTGTTCCACCGTTGCATAGTGCTCCTAGGATTTCCCACGCAGCTGCGCCACGTCAAATTCAGTTCGGAATGTCGCACCCGCAAAATGAACTCACCCATATCAAAACTAATATTGAGGGTCTGACCAACCTTCGTTCCTGTCTTGATTCCTAAATCGCCTGGCGATTGACAAATCAAGTTGGTGACACTCCTGTGCGTAACATCAACCCCCTTTGGTGTGCCCGTGGTGCCTAGGGTGTTCATCAGCCTTCCAGTCTTTGCTCAATATATCTCGTATTCCTTCGTATTTCACGAACCTGAAGTGTAAATGATGTAGCACCCGCTGTCAGGCTCTGCAAGGTCCTCCAGCACAAGACCATCTTCGCGATCGTCGTCGCCTTCTACTCGGCGGAGCTCGTCGACGCAAATGACGGTGAGGTCGGGGAACTCGCTGAGGCGATGTTTCGTTACGCCCATGGCCAGCACAACGCTACCACGTTCACTGCTGTTCTGCTCCACTACAGAGCGCAGCGTAGACTCTGGCACGACGCCGCCGTCGAGGGGCGCGTATTGGGCGCCGCATGAGAGCACCGCTAGAATCCCCACCAGCATGCCTATTCCACGCTTGACCACCAGAGGCACGCGGTCGCCAGGGCGCACACCCAGACGTCGCATCTCAACGGCCAGGCGCGCCGCGCGGCTCGAGAGGGCCTGGTACGTGATCACTTCGGTCTTGTGTGCCGAGGTGAGGCTCACTGCGGCGAGGGAATTCGGGCTGGCGAGTACGTGGTGCTTGAATGCATCTGTGACAGTACAGAAGCGAGGGTGGCTCTCGGGGCCAAACATTTGCGGGAACATGTTAGGCGAGGCAGGCTGTGGCGTCTGATGAAGGGATTTCATTGTGTCTGATGAAGCTGATGGTAGCTGAAGGAAGCTGGGAAAGTGAGTTCTCGAGTTGGATCAACGCGGAGGGCAACTAGAAATGAGCACAGCCCTGAATTCGTCTGGACAGGCGCCGGCAAGAACACAGCAAAGCGAAGTAGATGTTACAGTGGGGCCGTGATACAGTTGTGAGCGAATGCAGCTTCCTATTCATGCACTCTGTCTGCTTGTGAAGCCTGGATCCGGATCTGTAGGTACATGAATCTACGTTGATGATCCATAAGAAGCCGCGCTGGCGCTGCCACAGTAGCCGGTTTTGGATGAGCGCTATTGGTACAGTCAGGTCTTTATGAGTGGGTCGTACGTAGCCCGTCAATACGGGTGCCATTTAGCACAGTGACTTTCACACGTCGAACACATTCAGCGACCGGCGAAGCACAGCTTTGTGTTCGGCAATTCGCCGTCCAAATAGAGAATTTTGCAAAACACACACTGTATGGAGCCCTTCTGACCCTTCGTGTTATTCTATTCGCTAGGAAGCTGTGAATGCTCAAGACGGTACGATACAGGACCGCTTTGTGGCGAGATTGTCGTTTCCTTGACACTAGCCAACAGTTCAGTAGACTAGGTCCCGCCCTGCTGCACCCGTGTCTTGCCGTAACCATGTCTTCCCTGATAGATGCCATCCCTTGGAAACGCTGCTATCCTGTTCAAGCCTCGCCTTGGGACTCACGGCGGCCTTGACAACCGTCGTCGTGCGCGGTCGCTATCTGTCTGCCATGGGTGCATCTGTATATGATGGGCCAAGTGGGCGCATTCCACGCGACCCCTGCGGTTGGGAAGCTCTTACCAGGCTCAGAGGAGTCTGATCGACAGGGGCAGAATGCAGCCACTCCAGCTTCTGATGTCAAGCAGCTCGGGTGACGTGTGGCTGCCACACGACAAGTCGTCGATCAATTGTGGCCTGGCCCAAAGTGGGAACCCCGGGCAGGTGTCCATAACGTTGGCCGACCATCACACCCTCTCAGCTCTCATCCTCCAGTGTGGCTGCCACATGATAAGGACTACCCAGACAGGTATCCATAGCAAAGGTGGAGCCATCACACCCTCTCGATTCTACTGTGGTATCAGGCAAAAAGTATGTTAGCTCGCCCCACACAACAGCAAGGGTCAAAAGAGTCACTTTTCCCGTTCGAGGTATTTCCACCTACGAGTAATACCAATATAACGCGTGTAACTTCAAATATATATTTACTATGGCTTCAACTCAGGATCTCGAGCTACAGCTACGGCAGCTTCAAGAGCAGCAGCAGCTCCTTCTTCAGGAGCAAGAACGGCTCCAAGAGCAGCTTTCACAGCAGCTTCAACAACAGCATCAAGAGCTCCTCCAAGCACTACGAACGCCCTCACCACAACCTTCCGGCCGTGCAAGCAATACAAGCCGCGATACCCGTATTTCGATGTCAGGCTGTTATAGATGCTAATGGAATGCATACTCGATTCTAGATCGATAGAATACTGGAATTTGCTGTAGGCTACATCGTGACCCGGGAAAGTGACCTCTTTGACCCTTGCTGTTGTGTGGGGCGAGCTAACATACTTTTTGCCTGATACCACAGTACGAAGTGGCCGTGATCGACTACGCTTGTTCTCGGTGAGTGGGGAAGTTCAAGGGCCCGTTGCAAGGACCTAGTCAGAAGTGGATATAGCCCAAGAGACTCCTTGTTGGTGTAGTGGAGTTGTCCAAGGCACCATGGCAAGAACCCAGTCAGAAGTGGATGTAATAGACATTTGGTGTATTGAAGAGCTCCAGGTACCCCTGAATAGCGCTGTCGACTACATCCACTTTTGACCGGTCCTTGCCAGGGTACCCGGACTTCCCCACCCCGCCAGGAAGAAGAGCTGTCGACCGCATCCATTCTTGTTAATTCTTGTCAGGGGGCCTAGTCCACCTATTAAAAACGAGGAGCTTGATGAGCTACATCTACTTCTGACTGGTTCTGACCAGGAGCCCCAGTCTGTCTCTTCCACACCCCAATTACCTTGGCTGACCGTCTCCTCTTCCAGCACTACTCTAGCTAGGGCCCCTGACCTGTTTGCTCCACCCTCAACTGAGCTTCGTGAATCATCTTTCAATTTGATTCTACCTTGATCGAAGGCCCTGGCCTGTCTCTGCACTCAAAATAGTTTCGTTGATCATACCTTTTTCATCTTCTACGTACTATGTACTTTCGTCAGATTCCAATTAAAGCTGAGCTACTGTATGCTTCGAATCTACTTTTGAGAACAGAAAAGTATTATGCAACGTCTTCTACGTACCTACCTTGTAGCCATCTTGGCTACCTTTGGAGGTGCTTCGGATCCATTCTCCAAGTCCTGCTTCGACTGCAAAACACATGAATTGGTGGCCATGTGGCATTGCTTAGAGATGAACACCCACCTTTGTCAGCGCGATTCTGAGTGTAAATTCATGCTTTTCAAAGACTGTAGTGAGTTTTTATCCCCCTCATCTAGATTTTGCCGCTGCAATCTCACCTGTTCTCAGTGACTTACCATGCTTGCTCGGCCATCGAGTGTAGCGATGCTTGAGAATGGGCGCTCTGGGGAATGAGCGGTCAGCTTGCAACTTTTAGTGTCTTCACACCTAGCAGTCATAATCATGGAAAGAGGTCGAGTCACTGGGGTGATGACCTCCAGTCACGGGGGAGTAATCATTTATTACTTACGGATAGACGCAATGAATTACAAACTTCGGAATGCTGCAGAGTACCCTCCATTTTGAATCGCTCCTCGGTTGCTTTTGACATTATGCTCGGGTTCATACCGGATATAAAAATGCTCATTCTCGTACAGATCGTGTAGTGACTTATTTTCGCCGTTTGTAAGATCTTGTCTTCCTAGCTTGATGGCCGAACGCTGGGGAGTGATCTGGTCGATAGCCATAGAATGCCCGCTGGAAATCCTCAACTTCAAGGTGTCTCGAATTAGCGCGGCGTTTCCGTCTTCCTCTCTTAGAGGAGGTACGCCCAGCGTTTCGTATGATTGCATTCCACCCTACCTCTTCAACTTTCCATGTCTTGGCTATGCCACCTCTTGGTCGTAAGTTGTAAGGGACTGTAGGCTTGGACACATGTCGTGTGGGACTGTTTTCCTGGGTCAAACTTTCAGGAGAATGTACTGCTGAGGGTACTATAAAATCCCATTCTTCCTGCGTAGGATAGAGTTCCGAGGCTATACGATGGGGGTGTCCTTCGGGATGGCTGCCCATTGGTTCAGTTTGATAAGGTGTCATCTTGAGGTTGCATGTGGAATCTCCTTGGGTTGAGGAGAGTCAGGTCCTTAAATAATCGCACGGAGCAGCCCCCTGACGCTCGAGACTCGACGACTCCATAGTAAGGTAGGCCCCTTGGCTCCAATGCTCATGAGATGGGTCTCCGTTACCAATTCGTAAGCATGAGGGTTTAAAGAATTCTATCTCCACAGTAATCGCGTAGATTTGGGTCCTGTGAGAGCGCGATGTGACGAGATACTTCTCTCGTCATCTATCCGATCGCATGTCCTGGTTCAGGCGGCAGCAGACCGCCGCTTCGATGCGAAGCCGAAATTCCGCATGATTGATGTAGTTGACAGACATGGGCATCTCGAAAGAGAACATCACATACCTCAATCGCCATGGCTACTTCGGCCGGGTACCATTCACCGCCTCTATGGAGGAGTTCGATGTCGTCGAGCCCGCACGAAAATTGTAGCCTGTGGACCTATTCAAGTATCTGTTCATGGTAGAAGTGGTCGGGGCCGGCTTTGATAAGCCCGCGAGCACTGGGTACTATGCTCTGCGATTTCCACGAGTATTGAAAATTCACGAGTACCGCTCACTTCAGGATGCCGTCAGCTTTGAGGAGCTGCAGAAAATGGCGCAAAGCTGCCTTAGGATACCTGAAAATGGAGGACAGGAGGAGCAACGTTGGTCTAGGAGGCTGCGTGGTTTTGAGACCATGTTTGACAGGTCGAGGACTGCCTCTCCCAGCGACAGCGACGTGTCTGGCGCAGGTATGTGCAGACAGTCTCGTCAACCGGCAAGAGATTCTGGTGCCAGCAGAGTACAACTGTCTAAGCACGTAGTCCATATCCACTTTGATTAAGGGGGAAGCCACCGAGCGGTCTCCCTCCTCCGTCGACCACCCACAACGACTGAAAGCTTTTCCTTTACGCACTTTATGCAGTTCCAACTACTTCCCTTCAAAACTTCGTCCAGATCGCTGATCAATGATTCGTCATCTGAGACTACATACCTGGTCTGCGGCTTCACTCACTGGCGGTGGGGAAGATCAAAGGGTATTGCTTCGCACCCGATGCCGTCCGTATCGAGATTACGGGAGACATTGGAAGACGTGGACGCCGTGCGCGACATGGTCCATCCCTACCTGAGCCAATCACGAACCATTGTTCTGGCAGTACTCCAAGCCAGTAACGATATGGCTACCCAGACAATTATCAAAATGGCGAGAGAGCATGATCCACACGGCGAACGAACCATTGGCATCATCACAGATCCAGACCCAATAAGGGTACAGAAGAAAAGCTTGTCCGGGTTGCGCACAACGAACTGAATCTCTTAAAAAGACCCTAGTCCCGAAGAGTTGAAAGAGAATCCAACGATGGCAATGCGGTCGCGCTCTGAGACATCTTTCAAGCGTGGGCGGGCATTGACTCGGATCATGTGGACGCCCTGAAGCTGCGATCTTATCTTCAAGAACTCTTGGATACTCACTTAGAGCGAGAGCTTCCCAAATTGCAGAAGGAAATGAAAAAGAAACTTGTACGAACCTTCATGAGGATATTATACACATAGGTCAGGAGCTATCTCAGGTGGCCGTCTCCTGTTTGAACGCGAGATGCCCACCCGGCGCAAACCCTACCGAAGTAACGCAGTCACCGTGATCCCACTTGTAGGGGCTAATCAATAACAGGCAATTTGTGATTATTAGATCTTGAATGCGAAACACGCTGAAAGTTCCTCAATAGGTGTTCGCAGTCTCTCAAGCGCTCAAGAGGCTCCCATGTATTTTCACTGTCCGCATAATTCTTCCATTTGACAAGATATTCAACTCTTCCGTTGATAGTTTGTTCAGCGACAATTCGTTCCGGCTCGCAGATTTCCTGTATCTTCGCTCTCTGAAATATTCGCGTGTGTACTGATCCAATTTTCTCACTTATAAATAAGCGGAGGATGCGTGCTTCAAGCATATTTTTTTCTGCTCGAGTTGCTTATTCAGCGGCTATGTTTCGAGACTGGAACTTGCGTAAAAATGAGTTGTCGCTGGCCTCGCTGCTTTTATAGGCTAGTTGAGTCACTGATAATCTCGCGACCTAATCGTCTGTTTTGTGATCAATCTAGTATAGGAGGTGCCGTTTTAAGGCCAAAGGGATCCAAGCTAATGGTAACTACATCAGCTTTAGGGAATTCCGCGGCACCTTTGTGCCCAAACGGCTTCTTCCTCATACTGACAAGAAGATTTGTAGGCAATTTCTTAACGCTGCGAGTCAAATTTACTAGCTGCAGCGAGTTCTATTTCTCGAATTACGACGATATCGAGGAACTTACCCCAGGGATCGACGTCGATAGAATGACCCACCGCGGCGAGCACCGACCTACCCTAGGTATTACAGCATAGGCTAACACAGGAGCGCAATGTAAGAGAGCAAATTTCAACCCCAAAGGAGTCTTGCAATGCGGCTTTCTGCTATGACGCACAGCACACGCGACAATGCCCATTCATCAAGCCCGGCAATTATACAAAATGCTACTCACACCCAGCTCATCCTCCTACGTGGTGTAAGGAGCCTCGGGGTAGCGATGTTCGTTCACTCTTCTCTCGACTCATTCACGCCAAGAAGAGCATCTGGAGTAGTTTTCAGCCGAGTAGCCGAGCTTACGTGCTATCTACAAGGCCTCTCCTTTCTTTCGAGTGTAGAATGTGCTGCACGAAGAGTCAGCGCACTTGGCCCATAAATTCAATTCCTCTCTAACTGACAATAGGGAGTCCCCGTCGAGCTCTTCGTGGATGGCGAAGGGCGTGTCGAGTTGGATCTTCATTCCATGCCAGGCATTTGCTTCTTTGGAGCAGTGAAGTACGCAGCGTCGTTTTTGCACGACTTCATGTTCCTGAAGACCGCCTGCATTTGGCCAGACCTGGATCGAATTCAATTTATAGATATTTCTTCTCTATTTTCCGCCTGCTAGTATAAAACTCCCGATGCGTATAGAGCCAAAGCCAATATACATATAAGGATAGAGGTGCGTATCGTATTGTACCGTGGGGCGTAAGCACAAGCCCCTTGGGCCTAGGAGAGGGTGGCCCACGGAGGGGATATATGTCAGAGGTCTCG